TTTGCTGGCTGTAGCAGCGCTATAGCGCTGCTATAGCGCTGCACAGCAAAAACGCATAAAAATCGGAACTTTGCAGGAACATTATCTGTGTATATGTGAGCTATTGATTTCAGATTCGGCTGTCATGCATGCTTGCACGGTCACGTAAAAGTTCGTAGCTGGCACTGTGTCAATTCGAATGCCGGAAAAAAGTAGCTGAAAACTTGTCAGAATATTTGTCATCCATATGTAAAATCGTATGCCTAAGTCGAGTTTCAATTTGCGCTTGCGCTGTTGCCTGGAGCACTTCAAAGATATTTGTGGCGAAATGGCGATTTCGCCTACCGTATAAGCCGCGAGCTGAAACTTTGCAGGGATATTCTGCGTTCATCTGTGGTCTTAATTCGGGTGGAGATGAAATTCCCTGTACGCGGACATGACAAAATTCAGTTTTATCGCAGGTTCAAAAGAGGGGCGCATTTTGCGGATTTCGTAATCCTTTTCCGACATCTTCTGCTTTAAATTTGCATTTTTCAATGAGCAACTTCCCAACGGGAAAACGACTGAGTTTTATGAAAAAAATTGATAATCACGGCCTCGTGATACAACACTATCATCCCAGCTGGGACTCCTTCCTGCTGTGTGCAGAAAAAGGCCAAAAGACAGCCAGCATGAGTCCGCATGTTAAAATCCAACGTAAAAACTGTTCTTGCTGTTAACGATTTTACTGCTGCAAGTTTAATGCAAAAACGCACGATCGCACCGGCAAGCCTGGTACGTTGCAGCCTTTTTCTTTCCTTGTTTTTCTTTTTTCTCTGTTCCCTTTTAATCTCAGCCCTGAGCATGTTAAGCGAAAATTAACACTGTGCTGGCTTTGAAAATGCAGATATTTTCAGTTATTCAGGATACATGAAGTTGACAGTTTAGAACTCACCTTGTTGTAATGCCCTCAAGGAGCAGCATCCCTGAGCGGAAGTTATGAATAGCAGCGGTTCATTCTTCAATTGTTTTAGCAGCAAGCCAAGCATAGGATCTTATTTTCACAAAACCTTAACAAAAATTAAAACATTTTTCTAAAATTGCGTGCAGTTGGTTTTTTTTTCACCGAAACATGTTTATGCATTTGCCTTTCTTGCATTTATGACGACGCATATGGCGTCTGCGTGTGTCTGTGCGCCCTGTCTCACCTAGACTCGTTGAAGAGCTGAAATTATAGGGTCATGGTTTCCTGGGTCATGTACAGGTTCTGGAATGCAAAACGAACTTTCGCATCCACTTACATCTCTTGCAGAGACAAGCACAACTTTGTTTTCCAGTTAACTATGGAACTTCAAATTTCACATCGGCAACAAATATCTGCTGGACGAAACCGTGTAAAAAAAACGCGCACTTTTTAAGCCGCTCACGTGACAAAAAATTTTTTGCAAATCCACAATATACGGCTTTAATCACTGTTCTGTTGTCCACTCTGCCCCCTTTCCTTTAAGCACGCAGCAGGGATGTTATAAGCGGATGAAATCTTGGATATGGCATTGATCATGCCCGGTTTCGTTTTGCTATAGTTTATGATGGGAATTGGCTCTAAGAATAAGTAGTCGATTGTTTATTCCTCTGTTTATTGACGAACATCAGGATGGGTGAGAGCGAAAGCTGAGACGGGGGATGGCGGAATAAAGAGAAGCGTGAGGGAAAAGGGAAGGGACGAGGGCTATGTTTAGTACCTTCGGTTTTACTTCTAAAAGTTAAAAGAAATGACGGTGCCGCTTAACTGTGAAGCAGTTTGTCAGCAGTGGGGCAGTAAAGTATTAATGTCCAGAACCACGGGCACCTTATATATCTTCCACTAGCACCCGCAATATCACTTTCGGATTGTCCTGCCAACTTTAATGTTTGGTGCCGTTTTGGATGCGCCATACAACATGTTGCGCTCGAGGTCATATCTCTCAGACACTTTCCGCATATAGGATTAATGGAGGAAAGAACCGGAAGTGGGGAAGGTACGGCTGGGACGTCATATGATTAGTCTTGCCAGTCAGGCCTCATCTTTCATGTTTTGTTCCATCTTCAGTCCAGAAACCTCAGTTTCTCTCGTTTTCCGAGACAGGTGATGGTATTTGGCTATGGATCAAGTATACATTAGCTTCTGCCCTGCCCTCGTCGAATAGGCAGTCAGGCGAATGCTCGAAGTATAATATTCGGAGGGATGATACAATTACTTAGGCTAATATCCGCACAGTTTGCGAAGAAATTGTGATATTAGTACTGTTTTCCGTGAAAAATACAAACATAGAGACAGACCAAGGATTACTAACAAACTGTCTATCCGGTGATGAAACTTTGGTGATAGCCGTTGTAAAATGCAGATGCGTCCCGGTCCAGTGCACTCTCCACTGCGTCCATGAACGCTCTGTGGAGGTAGTCGAGATCAGGGCACTCACCAAAAAAACCAAGCTAAAAGAGTGTGCATGAGCTTATTTGCCCACAGCGCATGTTACCTCTACCTCCTTCCTGCTACCCTTTCTCCTGTTCCATTCAACTCCAGTTTTCCTCTCTGGCGTAGAGGATACCCCCAACAAAGAACAAATTTTCAGGAGCCAGATCGTTTCACTTTGGAATTTAACTCTACCAGTTGAAAAATCGAGTGCCGTGCGTTAATTTTGCATCCATTTTAGATTATTGACTCTGAAACAGTTGAATGTTTTTTGATAGCTCCTAGCAGAATTGACAGTTCGTGAAATCTGTCATCATTTTAAACAGACTTCTACAGGACGATTTAAAAAACCGATCGCGAACTTGTGAATTCTAACTACCATTTTTGAGCGCAGCGTAGGATACACTAACGTTTTCAAAAAAAAAAGTCCCGCAGGTCGGATTTCCGCCAAGCTACAGAGGAGAATTTTTTGTTGCATTGCTTCTCGTACTTTTTTTTTTTCATTGGAGTGAGTAGTTACAGTTCGTGTCTAAACATTCATAAATGATTTGTGGAAGTGAAAACGTATTATGACAAGGTCATCATGCTATGCGAACATATGTGCTTCTTTGGATAATTCAGCTCCTAAACGAGGATGAATGGTGTGCGAGCACTGCTTTTTCATTTAGCTTATAGGCGTTTCTGGACAGCAGTTTTGTAAAACAAGGACACTTCGAGTTTGATCTCTATGTCTCATTAGCCGCGATTGGGAGACTGACCGAATACCAGTGAGAATTCAGGATAATCATAACTGCAGTGAGAAGTAATAACGCGGATTTCCTACAGCCTTTTTATTTAAAAATAGCAAAAGCGCAAACATATGCTAAGCGAAATCACGTGAGCAGATGATTTATTAGCAGGATCATTGTTTATTCGCATGCGCTTGTGTTTCGGCCCCGTATGGGCATCGCTGCTCCACGGCTCCCTCGCTCGGTGCGTGCACCTCGCTGGCATCCTCAATTTGTTGGGCCCTGTGTTTCGCGATAGTTCTTTCCAGTGATACTCTGGGGTTCCGGCAGAGGATAGCCAAGTCTTCTTAGTGCTGGGAGGGCTGTCTTACCACGCAAGTGGAGGAAGTAGGCGACCAGTCACGCCAGGGCCATGTGGTCAGAATCACCTCCCGAACTTGCTGTTTTTTTGGTTCACTCGTCACCTGCTGCTTTACATCTGAATTCAGGCCAGTTTTATAGTGTCAGGTTCTGACATGCTAAAAACCCCGAGCTTAGTTCACAGAATATTGTTGAACTTGCCAAAGTCGAACTTCCTCGGGTCCTGAGTGCTGATTTTACATCATTAAGCTGAGTTTATTGCTGGAAATGAAGCAGTCTATAAATTTAAAATCTCTGTACTTACACAATGAAAAACATCGTAGTAGGGTAAAGTAACTTCTACCTGCTTTTCCACATTCACTTGCTGTGCATCTTTACAGATTATCACGAAAGCGAAATTCCGTCACCATCCTTCTGCACTTCATTTTCTTTCAGGAATGTAATTTCGCATTTACAGTTAATTTTTTAGCACTCCTTCAGTTGAAGCTTCCCTTCCTTTGATCAAACATTTATCCCAGTAGCTAAGTTTGCGTTTATCTGGCTGGGTTTTCTTCGTCTCACGTAACGATTTTGTCGTTAATGCGGCTCAGATCGGGCTTTTTTTTTTTGTATATGCGCAACTTACAGCTGCTGCTTGAGTAGTTTGTGTAAAGCAAATATATTAGGAGGCATGTTCGTTAGATATCATACTTTCATCGACCCTTTTCCGTTGCGCATTATACATCTTCTGTCATTGGTTTTCCTCATCCTTTGCCCTCGGCCCCACTTCCTCTTCTTCGCACTGTCCTTTCATAACACAAAATGTTATATTATTTAAGTTAAATCTTCGGGTGATTTTCCTGTGTTGTTCATTGAATTATTGCTTAATCAAAGTAAAGCAAGGCTTCAGTTTCAAAGCATCAGTCATGTTATTGTTAAGGAACGAAAATTGTTGAGTGTTGAGCAGCATATTGGTGAATACGTTGCATCGTGTAACTCCGAAATGTATCGTAGGCTGTTAAGGATTTTATTTAGCATAATCGGAAATACCCTGTTGCAGAAAAGGAGTCGCAAATATCAGCGTAAAAGATAATGAGCGATGAATGCTGCTATGTATGTAATGAATGCCCAAATTTTTATGCTACGCTGGACGACTTAGAGAAGCACATGGAACAAACGCATGCAGGAATTCTTCGCTCCGATTTAACCACGACTCTCAGTAGTGCCAGTGTACGGTTCCCGAAACCGGAAGACGATGAGAATGTTATGCAGTATGTTGGAAAGAATCTCGTCGGTGATAAAAACGCCGAATTGATGGAGCATGTATGTGTTGCTAAAATTTAAAATTGCCGCAACTGATTACTCAGTGGCAAGCAGTTATTTCAGGCTTGGATTTCGGGTTGTTCTGCATCCTTTCCCACATCGCTAGCGACCAACAAAGGGGGCTGAGTCAGGAAGCCTTTTTTTTTTAGCAGCGCTTGTTAAATCTACACATTTTTTGAGGAAAAACCCAGGTAGCGACGCACCAGGCTTGCCGGTGCGACCATGCGTTTTTGCGCTTAACATGGAGCAGTCAGATCGTTAACAACATGAATGCTGCTGTGTTACAGATTAATACATGGACTCATTTCGCCTGCATAGCAGTTTAACACTTCTTGGTTTTCCCTTGCATGCAAAGGAAATGGGCTCGGCTGGGACGGCAGTGTTGCATAGCGGGCCACATGAAATCTTAACCTCCAGGATGCATGATTTTGCCGTAAATTTGTTTGGCAATCGGTTGTCAATCGGGAAGTGCAAATTTGGCAATGAAAACGATGTTGGGAGAGGAGGAGGACAGAATCCGCAAAATGCGCTCGCTTTTGAGAATGTAGCACTTGTATTCATGATTCGGCTCAGCTCCTGAGAGTTTTATCTCACCATAGTGATTGCAAAATTTTTGCGTCCACCATTTGTGTAACGCAAGATGCGTTTCGCGGACTTTCGAAGTATATATGACTAGTTGCTTATTTTTACGTTGAAACGGGAGGGGAACGGGGAGGGGGAGGGGGAGAGGAGGAGAGGGAAACTAAAGAAATAAGGGATTTAAACTTACAAAAACTTTGGAGTTTAACAGAATTTGTTAAGGATGGGGATGGCGGAGAAAGTGGCGGCGATTCACCGAGTAGTTCGGATATATCAAATTTTGATGGCATAGTCGACGGTGCTGCATATAATCTAGATGAAAGCACAAATGCAGAAGGCCACAAAACGTTCGCTTGCAGATTTTGCCCCAAACTGTTTGATGAACGGTCACAGGTCTGTTTTTCTAATGAAGTTTTTTTCCAAAACCGTTCTGGACAAATGCTTTAGCCCAGCGCTTATATGTCAGTTTTGAATTAATTCGAGGAAAAGTAGCTGCTTTTTCCGATATGTTGAGGTCCTCATTTTGCAAGTGTTTTGAAAAAATATATCACAGAATTTGTGGAATCGGAAGAGGCGGGCAGGGAACATTTGCATGAGCTAAAACAATTCAATGAAATTTGAGAACAATTGTGGCACACATTTTGCCTGAATAGTTTCACTGATTCATAAATCACCAATGGTTTGGTATTTGGGCGAAAAGCAGACGGAGGGCCGTAGCCAGTCCGGCTGAGCGGTCTTCGTTTTACGCATGATGCCCAAAATGCGCCAACTTCTCATACATTTCTGTTTGTTTGTCGATCATGCTTCCGTCCCGCAAATTCCTTCTTTCAGAACGTCGTTTTGGTTAGATTTCTGTGTTGCGAAGTTCTTGTGTAAGCTTACTGACTTGATGCGGTATTTCTGTGCGATTTAAAAACGAAAATTCTGTGGATTATTACAGATGTACAAGCACACATAACATCAGGATTTAAGTTTTGACTTGAATAGATTAAGTAAAAACTGTATGTGCACTTAGGAACTAGATAAGCACCACTGCAGTTGCAAAAAAGACTCTATTCATCACTGCTGCCACAATTTTAATTTGAGATTAAAGCGAGTTTTTATGCTTTTTTACATCTTTTGCAAATGCAGCAGTTGAAGGCGCACACCAGGGTAGCCTGTATGATCATGCTTTTTGCTCTAGTGGACGTTTATCTGTTAAGAACTCTCACTCCTTTACACTTTAGTGTGTACAAAAATAATCGCTATTTTATCTGGCTTCTAAACTACGAAATTCCTCTTTAAAAATTCCACGTGCCGGATCGTGAAACAGTCGTACGTGAAGCTGAATTTGAACCTAGGACCACATATTGGTTGGGGACATCCTTTCAAGATTTTAGCTTTCTAGTTTTCTAGCTTTTGAGTTGGTGACTTTCGCGTCAACATTTTCACGTGGCCGTATGTGTGGATTCAGCGAACTTGGAGGCTAAATTTAAATTCGTGCGTAGGTAAAAAAAATCCCTGTGAAATTGTAGCCTCCCAGCTTCTTTGGTTCTCGAGTTGAAATCGGTAAATGTACGAAGCTGGAACTCTGCAAGAATTTTCTCTCTCTGTGTATGAGTTAAAGATTTTGAATTCAACCATTGCACGCATTCGCGTCACACATGCAATTGCACAAAGTTGATGGCTGGCACCGCTCCAATTCGAAAATTGGTATCCTGACGTTTGCGGGCACTATGCCGCGTTTATCTTGATCTTTTGATTCTTGCATAATTTCTGTATTCGAGTGAGGCTCTAAACAGGCATCAGGATTTTCCTAAGTATAGATATAAAAATTATGTCAAAGATCAGAAGCTGAGGGTTTTTCATAAAACAGTATGGGGTGCCCAGTAAATCAATCAGTGATTCGGTGACGCAAAATTTCGTAGCTGTGATTTAAAAAGAAATACGTTTCAAATTCTTTTAATTATTTAAGAGAGCATGAAAAAACAAAAAATTTCTCTAGCACAGAACCAAAAAGTGAATTTATTAGCGGTTAATGCCAAACCATTCTCTTTCTAAAAAATTTGATTTTTAAATTTTCAGCTTCAAAAATTCTGGAATTTTATTTTTTTAAAATCTTTATAATTTGACTGTCTTGTCAAAATTGCCACCAGAATGTTTGTTCATGTATTTATTTGTGCTGTTTAGTAAGTTTTGGCCGTTTTTTATCATGCATGACAATCAGTGAGGGAAGTGTTACATGGTTTTCTTGTGGTTACAAAGGTGTCTTACGAAGTAGATAATTTTTGGAGCAGGAATGATGATGCCTAATCGTCTTGACCGTTACAGCTCACGTCTCTTATCTTTTTCACTGACCCGTTGCGTTCCCACCCCTAAGAATGGCAACGGTAAAATACGATGATGCTGTAGGAGCTAAAATTGTTTTGATTTGATACTTCGGTTTTATGGTGCCAGTGAAATGCGGCGTAGTGTCTTCTTGCCTGGAGTCGCTATGATAAATATCTGATATCGCTTCCTTATTCTTTTGGACCATTTTCACTTTGCCGTCGCCTTTTTTCCCCATTAGTTGTGTTGCTGAAGTGAATACTGTTTAGCTGAACATACACTACAAGCATACGCACCGCGATAAGCCACAGTACGAGTGTGATGACTGTCACGTTGTGTTTGCGGTAAAACGTGAACTAAGTACACACATGCGTATACACAGCGGGGAACAGCCACACACGTGCACTCAGTGCGGTAAAGAATTTGGTACTCGACAGCTACTCAAGAAACACTGGATGTGGCATACTGGCGAGCGTTCACATGTTTGTCCACACTGTGCCAAAGCTTTTTTCCAGGTACGTTTTTCTGTATTACCGTTTGCTGATTGTCAAATCCTTTGGACTTTGGGCTTTTGTAACAGTCATTTTACTGTGCAAGATTTGGTCTCCTTGGTGCAGAATAGCAGGCCAAAACTGTCCGGACAGTTGATATGGGAGGTCCTATGTAGGATGCTCCCATACTTCAGGCTCAGCTCTGTCAGGCCCGTCGGTAAGAATTGAGTTGCAAAATTGCCTTGAAAACGAGAAATTAACCTCTTGTTTGTATCTGTTCTGTGATGCAAAACTGCCTTGAAAACAATAAATTAAACTGCAAGAATAAGGCACTCCGGAGAGTTATGATGTTTTCAGAAAGGGCACCTCACGCAGCATCTCATGATTCATGCCGGTGGCCGGCCACATCAGTGTCCGCTTTGCCAAAAAACGTTTATCTTCAAGTTCGATCTCAACCGACACATGAAAATCCACGCGGAAAGAGGTTTTTCTTGCGACAAGTGCGGTCGCTCGTTCATAAAGCAGATGCAGCTTGACGAGCATATACTGAAATGCAAAGGCCTCGTTGGTGGCGCTAGGTCCGTTTGGTCATTTCGTTATCTGTTTCACTTAAAAAACTTTCCAAAACTTTACAGCACCCCTCAATTTTTGCTAAAGAGTAATTGAAGCTGACGGGCATGTCATAGTGGGAAGCATCACTCTGTTGTCGTGCAACGTGTCGAGGGCTCGACTTCGCAGGTAGTACGAGCAGTTCATCTACAATTTGTTCATTTGTTTCGATGGTAAATTGGTACTAGTATCTGCGTAGGTCAAGCTTGCCACCAGCAAAAGTCATATGAGGAGCCGTCAACAGCTTTGACGGAGGGTCGCTACTTTTGGAACTTATTACTACTCGAGTTACTTTACTGGTGCTTCCATCTCTTATAGAGAACAAGTGCAGAGGGGATTTTGATTTTAACTTTGAAATATAGAAGCAGAAAAAGTATAGGTTTAGCATGAAACCGTCCAGTTCTGTGGCTGATTGCTTGTGGTTAACTGGATCCTTCAACCCCGTTTCATACTTCTCAGGTGTGAAGTAACAATATCTTTCACTGCAGGTTTGAATAAGACTTAGTGATATTTTCGCCAAGTCGTTGGCATACCTTGTTCCTATAAAAAAAGACCTAATTCTTGCCGCTCATAACTTATATTCGCACCTTCTGAATAGTACTAACTGATTAAATTAACGCGCTGCTTCCAAGGCTTGCACTGTTCTCAAAATTCGCGTCCTAGTGTGTTAAATTAGCATTTATGGTTCTTGTTAGTTTTTGCCGCCGCATTTTTCTTCGGCCGTTTTTGGTATTCCATTGCAGTTAATGATCTTTTTATTCACACGATAAGCGTGTTTACAACACTCGCAGTAAATTGTCAGTAACGAAAACAAAAGTTGCAAGTGCACAAAGGTGGCCGTCCAGCACCTGGATGTTTATCTAGGAAAAACGAGACCTTCGACTAATTTTTGCACCCGTTTGGTTAAATTTCGCGTTTTTCCAAGAAACGTTGCATTCTTAATAACTGTTGCTCACTCCTTGACCCAGTTTTGCACTTTCAAAAACGCAGGGCGAACATACCGCTGTTTTTTCCTTTCGACTTCTACAATGGCGACACTTCCAAGCAAAACGCGTTGTTTAAGCGACATACTGTTTTCGATGTTGATTTTGGGAAGTAAAAAATTCGTTTAGTTAAGTTGTGCTGCCCGAGCTAACAAGACTAACCTAGTAAAATCCGAAGGAACTGTTGCAAAGGCGTTAGGAGGGATCGAACAGCCCGGGGTTTCATGCTAAAAACGACCAGCGAAAATTGAATCCGCTGCACAGTACTAAAGTTGGTAAATGAGGAAACCATGTTGCAGAAGTCAACCCATCACACGAACAAACACACCGATGAGTGCTGATGCAGGCAACGGTTTGGGAAATAATATCAGTAGCGTAAAGCTAGAGCCACGAACTTCAACGCAATCATCACCTGGTCGGCGACAGTCAGTTTCAATTCAGCAACAACAGCAGCAGCAGCAACAGCACCACCACCACCAACAACAGCGTCAGCAACAACATAACAGAAACACTTCGCAGGCATCAGCCTTTTCTCAAGATGAAATGAATAAGGTTTTCTCTTCTGCCCTTCTGAATTGAAACTCCAGCGATAGACGGATCCAAGACGGACTGCTGGCACGGGAAGAGGCGGCGGCAAGTGGAGAAGGGGAGGATACTTTCCCTAGAACTTTGAAAAAGCCAGGAGTAGAGTTGTAACACTGCTACTTAGAGTTACTTCTGGCTTTAATTTACTTTAGCTTTAGACCCGGGCTTTTGCAGCACTGGAGTCTGTGCCGCTGGGGGGAGCAGTCGTTCCCGTGCGGGCATAGTACCGTTCACAAAGCACGGCGTCCACCAGTTGTCAGCGGAGGAGGTGTTAATAATAAGTGATAAAATGTTAGTTCGTTCATTTCCTATCGTAGTGAAATGCATCGAATATGAGAGAGAGTGTGCGTGTTACATGAAAGACTGCTCACTGAAATCTAGCTTTTTTTTTTTCAGTGATGGTACGCCATATACATGTAAAATGCGTCATTTGTTTCCCAAAGTTTTCCGTTACTAGGAAAGTTTGTAAATGAAACTGTTTAATTGTGAATTTTTACACACTGCTTTTCTGACGGCGCAGAATATTTAGGTAGCTCAAGCGCTGGCGGTTCAGCAGCAGCAACGAGCCCTAGTTGCAGCAGCTGCAGCACAACACAGCGCTGCGACTGCAGCTGCAACGGGAACGAATGCATTGTTTCACGCAAATGCACTGCAGAATTTTGCCCAGAACCTGGTGATCAATGGCGTGAGCGCTCAACAGCAGCAGCCTGCGGGACAGACGTTCTTTTGTGTATTTTGCATGAAGCATTTCAACACGCAGGCCTCGTTCACGTTGCACCTCAGTTTCGTGCATTTCCGGACGAATTTGATCAGTGTCAACTCGCAGAGCTGCTTCCAGGAGCATTTTGAGAATCAGGTATACGGCTTTTTTTACGGGTACTGTAGAAATGCACTGAAGCCACTCGTCGTCTGTTTTCTTCCGTCGCCTCTCTGCATGTGTAAAAATTTGTAACCGGAACTAATTCAGGATTTGTTGGCGGGCTGGTTTCGCGGTCCTGTTACTCCATATTAGCTTCCTGATCCTTAGCCTGGAGATGATAGGTTAATTTTCAAGCGAATATTTCAACGTGGTGAAGAGGGCTGGCGTTCAAAAATATGTTTGGGATGGCATGCTTCTCGTTTGCGCGACGGAATGGAGGCATTTTGTTATCCACTTCAGACACGAAATTGAAATGTTCAAGAGGAAAAAGAGAGGGGGTGCTTAGCCGGTGTTTCTGTTTAGCTAGTAGGTTACTTATAAAACGGGACTCTTTTCTTTTTCTCACTGTTTTCCCTGCATCCCACAGCGTTGGCATCTTCCAGCGAAATGTGATTTTTTTTTACGCAGTTTTGTTTTCATTGCGATCTTCGCCTTATCTCAGTACTACTCTCTAGTTCAATTTCTAATCGCAGTCGAAGCTCAGAGCGGGGGAGCGAAGCAGGCTTTTGGTTTCGCATATTTATGCAAGTGCCAAAACGGTTGTTGGTAAGAGGTTGTGTGTGTGCGTTTGTGATGTGCACATGTGTGTAGTATGTATGTGTTCGTATTTTACTATTCAAGTTAGCAACCAGCAAAATAAGGGAGCGGGAACTTTTAAAGCATATTCGAGCACCATGTGTGATCTCCCCTTTTTAAAATCGTCATTCATGTACGTCTGGGTCCCATGTATGAACGCCGGAAAAGACGTGAATATTCGGGCGGGAAAATGACTTCGGGAACCAGGCAAGACCAGAAGTTGAATTTCGCAGGGATGCTTTGTGCTCTTGCGTGAGCTAAAAATTTCAAATTCAGCTATCACGCATGCCTATGAGACGCGAACTGATACACCGAAATTGAAATCGAAGCATCGATGGCAAAATGCCAACGCGTGAACTAAGGTAGATATAGTGCCTTGACTTTGCTAGAATGTTTGTTGTCCGTAAGTAGGCACGTGGACGTAAATTGACACTTGCCGTAAGTGTGCGACCTAAACATTTTAAATTCGTTTTTAACGCAATCTAAGGTCTCGCATGCGCGCAAGAGAAAGTTTCGCTCGAAACACTATTGGAACCCAATTAATTTGGTAACCAGACTAGCAGGAAGCAGTATTTTTCCTGAGAATGCTTGCTGCTCATTTACGGTCTAGCAAGCCTCCTGCTTGGCATATGCCTTACATAGAGGCGCATCGAATGTTCAAACTATATCGCTGTTGTCAGCCTTTCCTGTCGATTATCAGACAAAGGAAGCTGAAAATTTGCAAAAATATTGTTCGGTTCTCTGAGGTACGAAAAACATCTGGTATCAGCTTTTTCGCAAGCTAAGACCTTATAGACGAACGTGGCAAATATCAAATTACGAAAATGCATGACCGTACCGCCAAAATTGGGCTTAAAATGATATAGGTACATGACGTATTTGGTA